CAGGCGGGCCGTAAGGCACTGTCAGGCACCGCCCGGCGGGATCTCTAGTGACCCACAGAACAGGATTCCCCAGGGCGCGGAGTCTAAGCCCCAGTCTGCCTTTTCACCAGGGCCCCTGATGGTGGGGATGGACTTGGCGCAGGACTGAGACCAGGTCGCGGCCCCTGAGTGCACCCAACTGTGGTAGAGGGGTCCGCCGAGGGTATGTACCGGGGGAAAGCCTGATGTGAAGGGGCTGGCAGGTTTGCACAGTAGTGACTGGATCCGTGCGGGATGGATAGATCGTCTGGGTAGCGTCAGGCGTAGTCAGGCAGGCCAGGTCAGCAACGTGTGGACAGCGAGGTTCCGGAGGAGCAGGCAGAGAATAGTCAGGGTCACAAGCCGGGTTCAGTAACTCACGAGCAGCGTGGTACAGAGGATCAGGCAGAGAATGGTCAGGGTCACAAGCCGGGTTCAGTAACTCACAGACAACGCGGTCCAGAGGATCAGGCAGAAGGATGGTCAGGCAAGCCAGGGGTTCAACAGGAGACGGTCAGCAGAGGTCAGGATCAAAGCAGGGTCAGCAACTAGGCAGATAGGCAGGAACACAGGATACCAGGTACAGGGGCTCATGGGAAACATACACCAAGGCCCTGACTGCAGGTCTGGCCATTCCTTAAATACACCTCCTGCAATCAGCCCCAGGTGTTGGCTGATTGCAGGAGTGAGCTTCTGGCTGCTGAGCACCCACTGGTCAGCCCTGGTACTGCAGCCCACACGGCAGTTGAGTCCCACCACCAGTGCTGAGTCCATTTCTGACAGTCCATCTATCATCCTACAATGAACCAAACTCAGTGATGTTAATAAAGGTATATCCTGTACTGTTACTGCTATTCACTGCTGCAATGATATGTATTATCTCTTTGCATTGTTGGTCTTTGTTATTGTATTGACAAAATCCAATAAATATTTCTTTAAAAAAAAAAAAATATTCCCCGGAAAAAATGGTAGGATTTGCCCCATGTCTTTCCAGCTCCCTCTTCTCCAAACTCACACCAGCCTCCATACCTCCCAACATTGTCCTCAACTCCTAAAGCCTCCTTCTGCTATCCACTGCTGCAAATGAATAACGTCTGACCTTACATTCCTTTAACCACTTGCCTACCAAGCACTTATACCCCCTTATTTACCAGGCCAATTTTCAGCTTTCAGCGCTGCCGCACTTTGATTGACAATTGCGCGGTCATGCAACATTGTACCCATATGAAATTTTGATCATTTTTTTCTCACAAATAGAGCTTTCTTTTGGTGGTATTTAATCGCCACTGGGCGCTTTACTTTTTGCGCTATAAATAAAAATTGCAAAAAATTTGAAAAAAAAAAAAAGTTTTGTTTCTATTATAACATTTTTCAAACAGGTAATTTTTCTCCTTCACTGATGTGCGTTGATGAGGCAGCGCTGATGGGCACTGATAGGCGGCACTGATAGGCAGCACTAAAGGGCACTGATAGGCAGTACTAATGAGGTGGCACGGATAGGCGGCACTGATAGACAGCACTAATGAGGTGTCACGGATAGGCGCGACTAATATGCAGCACTGATAGGCGGCACTGATAGGTGACACTGATGATGGGTACTGATAGACGGCACAGACTGGCATCACTGCTGGGCACTGACTGGCGGCACTGACTGGCACAACCGCTGGGCACTGACTGGTGGCACTGACTGGCAGCACTGCTGGGCTGCACTGGTGGGTGGGCACAGGTGGGTGGCACTGCTGGGCACAGGTAGGTGGCACTGCAGAGTGGCACAGGTGGGTGCACTGCTGGGCACAGGTGGGTGATCTGCTGGGCACAGGTGGGCGGAGCTAGTGGGCGCACTGCTGGGCACAGGTGGGCAGAACTTGCGGGTGGCACTGCTGGGCACCGATCATCAGGGCACTGATCATCAGTGCCCTGATGATCGGTGCCGATCCCCGCTCTGACAACTGCCGGTTCTCGGCAGTACTTTCCTCACGATCTGACAGCGTGAGGAAAGTGCAACCGAGAACCGGCACTTGCATTTCCCTCTGATCAGCGTGTCATTGGGCACCGCTGATCACGTGGTAAAAGGCCGCTGTGATTGGCCTTTTACTACATCACGTGATCAGCTGTGTCCGTAGGACACAGCGATCACGGAGATCGTCGGGTGCGCGCCCCCTGGGGTGCGCAGGAGAGTGCGTTCTGGGAGGACGTCATATGACGTCCCACTCAGAACTGGCCGGCCGCAGTGCAGCCGTCATTCGGCTATCTGCGGTCGGCTACTAGTTAATATGTCCACATCAACCAATACATAGCCCAGCCCTCATGTCCTATCTTCCATCACCCCGATGTAACATTACAGAGGTCCCTTATGGCCATCCAGCAATCTCCCAATAACCCTCCCATCCCCCTCATCTCCCCCCAGCAATCACAGCCTTTTCCATCGCAACCCACCCCACCCTCAACTACCCAGCCCTCACTCTCCACTGAGTCACTCAACTTCCTAACTCCCACCCTTACCCCCCAAACCACCCCTCTACCTACTCTTCCTAGGTAATAGGTATGTTTCTTCCATGATGAAGATCAGCCATGGAGTATATCTGAGGTGTATATCAGGGTGTGCTTCTTCCCCACATGAGAGCTGGGATGTCCAGCAACATTCATCTAGAAGACATTTCCCGCACTCAAGGCACTAATACACCTCCAGGGGTGGGACCCCTGATGTACAGGAAGACAGGACTTCAGTGAGGAACATTTCCCTCACTCAGGACAGGAAAGTGGCTTCTCCCCCGTGTGACATCTCTGATGTCTGTAAAGATTGGACTTATCTGAAAAACATTTCCCGCACTCAGGACAGGAATACGGCTTTCTCCCCTGTGTGAGATCTCTGATGTGTGTAAAGATTGGACTTCTGTGAAAAACATTTCCCACACTCAGGACAGGAATACGGCTTCTCCCCGTGTGAGATCTCTGATGTGTGTAAAGATGGGACTTCTGTGAAAAACATTTCCCACACTCAGGACAGGAATACGGCTTTTCCCCGTGTGATCTCTGATGTGTGTCTGATGACTTCCTTGAAAAAGACTCAGGACAGGACTTCTCTGAAAAAGATTTCCCACACTCAGGACAGGGAATACGGCTTCTCCCCTGTGTGAGATCTCTGATGTGTGTGTAAAGACTGGATTTTTCTGAAAAACATTTCCCGCACTCAGGACAGGAATATGGCTTCTCCCCTGTGTGTGAGATCTCTGATGTGTCTGTAAAGACTGGACTTTTGTGAAAAACATTTCCCGCACTCAGGACAGGAATATGGCTTCTCCCCCGTGTGTGAGATCTTTTAAACATTAAGATGGATTTTTAGAAAAAACCCTTCCCGCACTCAGTAAGGAAACCTCTTACCCTGTTGGAGCTGGGAAGGCCCGGTCCCGCACAGTCTGAGGTTCCTCAGGATACGAGGAATCCGATGGTCCATCTACACTGGGTGGTGCCGGATGGACATTGGAGGGAGCCGGGTTTTCTCCTGGACTATACTGTGTGATGTCCTCATCTTCTACTTTCCAGTCTGGAGACAAAGTGAGACAATCCTCGGAGGTTTTCCTCATCTCCCGGCCATGGACTAAAATACAAAGACAAAGAGGATTACTAGACAGGAGCTGATTGGTTCCCCCAAACCAGGACTCCGCCCACATCAGGCAGCTTGGTCTCTGAGGAGCTTACAATTCCACCCTAAGGGAACTAGGAAATGGCTCCTCTGATCTCCTACCAGGTCATTTTTATTCATGGACCTTAGTCAGAGAGTGAGGAAACAACCAGAACTGTCTTTTATAGGAGGGACAGTGATGAGGGGATTATAGGACGAGGGTCCCCACCCCCTCTATCACTCATCGCCATCTTCCCAACACAAGAAGTACTGCACTTCCTTATTTAGTCCATGATTTAGTCATGAAGAACAGCGGGGCTGAGCCCCACCAGAGGTCAGAGAGTGAGGATGGGGGGGAGAACAACCAAGATGAAGACTGGACTGATCCTGAAGACCACCATCATTGGGGTATTGTATTCCTCCCTCATTATCACTTTCTGTTTAAGGGTCCAAAGTTGGAGGATGTTATCACATTATTATCACCATGTAAAAGTCTGTGCTCCAATCACATCATCCGATATAAAATGTCCAGCTGGAGGAAATGGGGGGAACAAAAGAGAATCCATATTATGTGTATATATAGCAGTGGGGGGAGGGGGGCAGAGCAGAAGTCAGGAGTATGTACAACATAGTATATAGTGCAGGGGTCAGGAGTATGTAATGTACAACAGAGTATATATAGTGCAGGGGTCAGGAGTATGTAATGTACAATATAGATATATAGTGCAGGGGTCAGGAGTATGTAATGTACATAGAGTATATAGTGCAGGGGTCAGGAGTATGTAATGTACAGTAATCAGTGCAGGGGTCAGGAGTATGTAATGTATAGTATATAGTGCAGGGGACAGTATGTAATGTACAACAGAGTATGCAGATGTCCCACACAGTGCCTCCCATCTCCTGAGACTGCACTGAGAGAGACTTGGGTCTGAGAGACATACAGACATATCCCACCCCACCCGGCACAGCCAGCAGACACACAGAGCAAGGAACCCTGGGAGAGTTGTCTGTCAGAGATCATTACTAGACTAGAGCCAGGGGCAGGAGTAAAAGATGTAAACACATAGCCCCAGGTGCCTACTATGTAATGTACAATGTGGTGAAAATGAACATTTTTTGCTGCCAGCTGAACCCCAGAACCTCCATAAATCCAGTCTAGATACATAAATTGTGTCTGCAGCACAGAGAAGGAAGATTATCCGAGAGAAATCCAGGAATACAGGACGGGGAACACAGCTCAGGAACACAGCTCAGGAAAGTGACCAGGGGATTACAGGCTGATATCACCCAGTCCCCGCCCTACTCTGGACCAATCAGTGAGCAGTATGGGTGGAGGAATGGATTTAGTGTTCATGACCCACCTGTGCTGATCTCTGTAGGAGTGTCCTCCTCTATAAATGTCCCCGTTATTCCATCCTCCTCCATAGACTGCTGATCATCCCTCACATACGCCTCTTCTTCTTCTGCTTTCACCTCAAATTCTATATCGATTGGATCTTCACTCTAAATCAAAAAAAAAGAAAATATCATCTGTAAAACATAAACTCCAATATTAAGGACATCACATAAAAAAAAATCCACACATTGTTCACAAGTCCATGTTCTAGATGATCCATCCCAACCTTGTAATGGTGAGGGATGGTGTGACCTTCCTGTGTGGAATCCCGGGAATACAGAGGACGGGGACACATCTCTCTGGGGTTCCTGGTATTAGGTGGCTCCATCATATCCTTGTTCCTTCTGAAAAACTCCTCCATCACTCCATACTCTCATCCTCCTCTTTATACTCTTCTTTAACATCAATATTATCATCCCCGAGGATTCCACTCTGAAAGATATAATAAAAACATTCATTGTAACAAACATGCTGTGTATAAATCACAACTACCAATAATTGTCATCATCTACCTGATGATGGTGAGGGATGGTGTGACCTTCCTGTGTGGAATCCCGGGAATACAGAGGACGGGGACATCTCTCTGGTGGGTTCCTGTAGCTGGATGACTCCACCATGGTGTCCTGGTACAGATCTTTGTGTCCTTTTAGAAGCTCTGACTCCTCCATCCCCCCATCCTCATCCTCCTCCTCTTTTATCTCTTCTTTAACCTCAACTTTAGGATCTCTCAGGTTTCCACTCTGAATATATAATAAAAATCATCAATGGTAACAATGCAGGTAACAATGCAGATAATGTACAGATCCTAATGATACTATCAGTGATTGTTCATCATCTACCTGATGATGTGATGGTGAGGATGGTGTGACCTTCCTGTGTGGAATCCCGGGAATACAGAGGACGGGGACATCTCTCTGGTGGGTTCCCATGACTGGATCCATCTGTAGGAAACACACACACTGACTGAATCCATTGTTTCTATGTGTTTATCAGATGATGGGGGATCTAGGTGGATCCTCCGTACTGCTCTCTCCTTTACAATAAAGTCTCCTCTACCCGGTGATGTGAGGGGCGGCTGATTGTCCATCATGACGTCCTTGTAGAGATCCTTGTGTCCTTCTAAATACTCCCACTCCTCCATGGAGAAATAGACAGTGACACCCTGACACCTTATAGGAACCTGACACACACAATGATACAGTCACCATCCAGACACATCCCTTGTCTGTTACTGGAGAATGTCCCAGAATTCCCGGCACCGCTCACCTCTCCTGTCAGCAGCTCAGTGATCTCTCTGGTGACTTCTAGAATCTTCTTCTTCTTTCTCTCTTCTATCAGGGAGGGAGGTGGAGGCAATGTGATGATGTCATATGATCTCCAGACTTCACAGGAGGAAAACTCTACATCTGAACACAAATAGTCACATCAAATGATATTCCCAGAATCCTCCTCACCTCTCCATTCAGGTCTCCATTTTATTAAAGCCCCACTTCAGGCTGAGGTATAATTTCCCCCCCACAGGACCCCCACACTACGCAGGGTATAGGCTTGTTGCAGCATTCTGATGTCATTACATACAACGCAGGACCAACAGTCCCACTTTACATGTGAGGATACCAAGGGGCCCCACATCCCATCATCCAGATAAGGGACATTGGGAGGAGGAGCTGTGAGGTCAGTGTGATGTCAAGGATTCTCTGACTCTGGATGGAGGGACATTGGGGGAGGAGGAGCTGTGAGGTCAGTGTGATGTCATAGGATTCTCTGACTCTGGATGGAGGGACATTGGGAGGAGGAGCTGTGAGGTCAGTGTGATGTCATAGGATTCTCTGACTCTGGATGGAGGGGGAGGGAGGAGTGTGTGAGGTCAGGGTGTGATGTCATAGGACTGATCTGGATGGAGGGACATTCTGTGGTCAGTGTGATGTCATAGGACATATAGACTCTGGATGGAGGGACATTTGGATGGGGAGATTTGAGGGGTCCTCTATATGAGGCTCCCTGTATAAACCAAATCCTTGTTCCCTGGGTGCGTCCTACCTCCTAAACTGAAGAGTGACCTTTGACCTTTACCATCCAGAAATCTGTCCGGAATCTGTGGAAGTAAGCTGTCATGTGATCAGGTGACGTGCGGAGGAACGGAGTGTAAATAGCAGACAATTGTCTCCAGAGCCCCTAATGGTGGGGATGGATTTGGCGGCGTGCTGGTGCCAAGTTTCCTCCCCCCAGGGTCACTGCAGGTGTGGAGAAAAGCTGTGTAAGAGGATATGGAGGAGAGATGAGGAGGAGATCCAGGAATCAGGAGAAAGGTCAGGGCAAGCAACAGACGAGCGCATCCAAGAGACCAAGCCGGGGTCACTACACAGAAAATCAATCCAAGGAAACAACAGGCAGGACGAGGAATAGCAAGAAGGAGCTGAGAGACAAATGAGAATATTGCTCAGCCAATGGGAGATGATCTCAGCATGACTTCCATCATGAAGGAGATGAGGGGGAGGGGAGGAAGTCACTGAAGGTGACCCATAGATCCATGGAAATTCAGCTGGTTCAGCAGGGATCGCTCACATTTCCATCCATGTGTGGCCACTGCCGGATAAAAGCCACTCCCCCAGCGGCTGCAGCCAATAGCTTCAGTGCTGATCCGTGTATTCTGAGAGCGGAGGAGTCCCCCCATTGTCAGAATACAAGAGTGCAGCGGGGAGGATTCCCCCATCCACCTCCAATGTGTGGATGGGGGATTTGAAAATATTACAGAGAACAACAACCCTCAGAGTCCCATTTATGATCCTTCATATGGAGCAGAGATAGTACACTGTCCAGCATTTACTGTACACACACTATACAATACAGCTCAGTGGATTGCTGTAGGAAAGTCCTGGATTCTTTCTTGGATACACAGAATATAACTGGATGTAACATTTATAGGTAAAGTTGATCCAGGGAATATCCGATTGCCTCTCGGGGGATCAGGAAGGAATTTTTTAACCCGGCTGTAGGCCGACCCCTCATTGCCTGCAGTAGAGCAGTTACTCGGATCATTCAGTTTATAATTCCACTAAACAGATGGTTAGATATATCAGCTTGGCATTAAAGCACATGGAAAAAAAAAATAAAAGTCAGCAGCTACAAAAACTGTAGCTGCTGTCATTTAAAATACAGCCACTTACCTGTCCCTCGGTCCCTCGTTGTCCTCACAACCGCTGGTTTCACCGGCCGTCTTCTCAACCTGGTGCCGGCATCTATCTTTAGTGTGGGCACCCGACTGTGACAGCTTGCGGCTTCACAGCCGGGTGCCCACTGCGCATGCGTGAGAAGTGCTGCACTTTTTTGAATGGCACGGTGCATTACGGTGGGTTGTACTATCACATTTGAGTAAAAGACGGGTGCATTGTAGGAATTGGCATTCTTGCTTATTTTTAAAGTTAAGTTCACACATTTATACACTGAAGAGGGAGGTGCATTGTAGTACAGCACACTTACACAATCACTGTTTTTTTTTTTATATCACACATATTACTTCCCTCACCCTTGTTCCACAGTTGTAGAAGTGGCAGTGCAGCATTCCAGTTGTTTTTTTTTTTTTTTAACAAAGACATAGAGCAGAATACATTTAGGCCTAAATTTATGATGAAATTTAATGTTTTTACATTTTTTTACTGGACATGTTTAATAGCAAAAAGTCAAATATATTGTTTTTTTTCTCAAAATTGCTGATTTTTTATTTTTTATAGCGCAAAAACATAAAACCGCAGAGGTGATCAAATACCACTGAAAGAAAGCTCTATTTGTGGCAAAAAAAAAATGAACGTAAATTTAATTTGGGTGCAGCGTTGCATGACCGCGCAATTGTCAGTTAAAGTAACACAGCGCCGTAACTTCAAAAAATGGCCTGGTCAGGAAGGGGGGGGGAATCCTCTGGAGGGCAAGCGGTTAAAGGTTGAAAGCTCTTTACATCCATATATGTCATAGCCTTCAGCATGTTATAAACAGAGGATTCATTCACATTGACTATAAAGTGACAAATTTCACTCGCCCCTCTTATGAATTTGGAAAAAGCCACGCAAAGTATTGTGTCCACAACTCATGTTATTCTACCTAGAGCATTGGTGTGCAAATACTTAGACACTCAATTTATTATTTATTAGGCAGGCTTATGCAGCGCTGTCAATTATATATGTGCATTCACATCAGTCCCACACACATTCATCCCCGAGGAGCGTACAATCTAAGGTCCCTAACTCACACATTCATACACACACATACTAGGGCCAGTTTAGACAGGATCCAATTCACTGACCAGCATGTCTTTGGAGTGTGGGAGGAAGCCGGAGTACCTGGAGGAAACCCACGCAGGCACAGGGAGAACATGCAAACTCCAGGCAGGTGGTGCCGTGGTTGGGATTCAAACCAACGACCCGAGTACTGCCAGGTGGAAGTGCTAACCATTTAGCCCCGGTGCTGCCCAATGAGTTCTGCTATGCAAAGCCATTGTGTACATCTCACCTTAGAAGGTACATATATATAGATGGTATTATAATGATTATTGGGTGACAACGCCTCTCTGGTTTGTAGATGAGAGATCAAGAGATAAAAGATAAGAAGATATTGTCTGTAATAATTATCTAGATCTATAGACAGATATTACACACAACATACTACACCCCTGAAGGGGTAAAGAGGAGTTCCAGCTGGTTTTTTAAGTTGCCTTCAAGACAATCCGACCCCCTTAACAGTCTGTAATGGCAATACATATATATATATTTTTTTTCTTCTAAACGTTGTATTTTTTTTTCATTGATCCAGTCTGCAGTTCCAGTCCAGGCCACCTATGAAATGTCTTCGGGGGGGTTACTGGGTGTATATATAAAATAACGTCTCATTACCTCCCCTGCTGCCACTTCCACCAACGTCTCCCCTCTACTTCCTCCTCTCACCCGGAACTTCCTGTCTGTGCCTGATATCACTTCCTGTCTGTGCCTGACATCACTTCCTGTCTGTCTTCCATAGAGACTTCCTGTCTGGGTAGAAGTGAGATCCCCACCTTGTGGAGCTCAGAGGAACTGCAGCCCCGAGAAGCATCTGGTAGTGTGACCCCGGCCTTGTGCTGGGTGTGTATGGACTGTAGATCCTTATAGATACTGGAAGCAAACTGTTAATTTTCATCATAGGTGCTATTAGACCTAAGCACCAAGTGTATGTGCTTTGGGTCTCCTCCTTCCCCCCCCCCGGGTCTAGTAAGATCTCGGACAGGATTACTTGCTCTGTGTCTGCTGGTTGTGCCGGGTGGAGGGATATGTCTGTATAGTCTCAGACCCAAGTCACTGAGTGCAGTCTCAGGAGATGGGAGGCAGCGGTGTGGGACCTCTGCAACTTGTCTACAGAAACATTTACCGAGTACTGAATCTACTGATTACACTGAATACCAATAATAGTTGAGTCCTGCCCCCACTATTATACTGTATACTTTATATTGTACATTACATACTCCTGACCCCTGCACTATATACTCTATGTTGTACATTACATACTCCTGACCCCTGCACTATATACTCTATTTGTACATTACATACTCCTGACCCCTGCACTATATACTCTATGTTGTACATTACATACTCCTGACCCCTGCACTATATACTCTATGTTGTACATTATTACATACTATGTTGTACTGACCCCTGCACTACATACTCCTGACCCCTGCACTACTCTATGTTTACATTACATTCACTATATACTCCTGACCCCTGCACTGCATATACTCTATGTTGTACATTACATACTCCTGACCCCTGCACTATATATATATGTTGTACATTATACTCCTGACCCCTGCACTATATTATACATTACATACTCCTGACCCCTGCACTATATACTCTATGTTGTACATTATATACTGACTATATACTACTATGTTTGTACATTTGTACATACTCCTGACCCCTGCACTATATACTCTATGTTGTACATTACATCATTCTGATACTATATAGTTCTTTTGTATCCTATATAATTAGTTTTATGTTACATTTGCATTATTTCTTTTTTCCCATTTCCTACCATCTGATTGGATGTGATAATGGTGATAATGTGATAACATCCTCC